TATAGCATAAGGTTATATACACAAGCATTATTGAATATGTAAACAACTGACACGACAACGAGTCAATATTTGAATAAGATGTTTAGCAATGTTATAACTAAAATGAATAAATACAGGAATAGGTTGTGTTTATGGGACAGCACACAATTCCAGAGAGCCTGTAGTTTAATCGTGGTGGAAGGCAGTTGAAAAAATGTGTGTGTGTTTTAAGTCACACTTCAACTTATTGTTTAGATATTTAAAAAATTTCGATTTGTTTTGCCAACTGCCCTCCAACTGTAATAGAACTCAAGAACATGTACGCCACCTATTGATTTGCTATTTGATACCAATATCAATACCAAAATTCTACTCATTTTCTACAGCAGAATGCAATGTAAAAAAATAGGATTGCATTGCACAGTTCAAAATTAATAACTATAAAAATATAGGAAATTGTAACCAGAACTATTTCAACATATACAGTACTCTCCCCCTGCCAAACGTGGGTCACATGCACACATCCAGGTGTTTAAACGTGAAAAGACACCAGCCGTGCTCTGAGGACTTAGAATGTCAAGTTCAGCTAAAAGTAGATCAAACCACTGGAATGCCTGAAGCTCCTTGTTAATATTCCGTGTGTAGTACGCTTTTCTGATCTAGATCCTTTAAGAGGATACAACACACTTCAGTCTGCTTATATGATCATCAATGAGACTCATGGCTCATTATTTATTTCACATAAAATCTCAATATGGAGCAAAAAAACTGTTATAAAAGAGACAGGCCGGCATACTTCCATCCACAAAATGCCTTTCTGCTTGGCCCCGATGACAGAATGTCATTAATTGTGGTCACATCAAAGGCACCACTCCAGTACAAAAATGACTTTGCAAGGCGGGCGAAACATCCTCACTGAATCAGAAAAGAAAATGGCTGAACAATGTAAAAGGAGTGGGAAGGGTAAGTTATGAATTTTGTATACACTGCACTCAACATGCAACCAACACAAGGAAAAAGCTGTGACATCTCAAGTTGGAATGATATGTCCTCCTTAAAGCCACAGTATGTATCTTCTATAGATCTGTAATACTTAAAAAATTCCTTAAAACTAATGATTTTTTCTTTGTTTAGAACAGTCATTTCAAAACATGAAATACGTCCACATCTCAATTTAATGAGAATATTTTTTTTGTCTGGAAAACTAGAAAATAGATAACATCTGTGTTCTATACAAGTGATTAGTCCTTAATCCTTATCCTTATTTCATTTATAAATATGTTTTAGTAGCAGCTCTAGTCTTTTTTGAAATACATGAATTTGATAGGTACAGAGAACATAAAGGAACATCTGCAATTTCAATATTTTCAATCATTTCTATAATTTCCTTCTTCACACATTTTGAGCTTATAAATTGAAAATAAAGTTGCAAGGACATTTGAAAATATAATGATACACTGTGAATGCCGTTAAATATTTCTTTTATATCTATGCATGTGAATGTGTATACAAAATGTTAATTAGGCAACAACAGGATGATGCATGAATGTGTTTTTTTCTGCTCAAAATAATGAATACATGAATTAAACCAAATTATAGAAAATTTACCTTTCTAAGATAGGATGAGAATACCTTTATTCGCCACTCACTGTATATACTCTTATATAATGTGCTAAAAATGCTAGTTTCCACCCATACTCTTATATAAAGTGCTAATATGTTCTACAATTACAACTAAAATAACATTAGATTATTAGGATTATTCAGAAATAATTATCTAATTCAGTTATGTTGTGTAACCTCGAGAGCCCTTTTTTCTTTTCTTTTTGCCAAACACTGAAAATCCCACTTTAGAAAGTTGTACATCAGTGACACTCACAGACATGTGTTTGGCAAACCTTTGTCCCACTCAACAACACTACTTTTCCTAAAGACTCTGAATGAGTAATCAACCAGCACCCGTCTGCCTGGATAATAGAACCCACATCATCGCTGCAATGAATCAAAAAGCACTTAGGCTATGTTCATACCGACCACATCGCCCCCAACACCCACACGCCGTTATAAGTACAGGCGGATGAGATAGATGCTTTCAGATTATAGCCTGAAGCAGCGAGAATCTCAAATAACAAAATGAACTCAGGCGGTAGTGACTCCATAGAATCGCGTGTGCTTTTAGCCAGCCTGCTATTGATGTTTATAACAGGTCCAAGTACCCACCAATGAGTGTTGATCAATGACAATTGCTTTTTACTTTCCTCCAGCTAAAAAAAAAAAAAACTAAACATGGGGACAGATGTGAAAAAAAATAAAAATAAGAATATGTCAAACATTATCTCGATGGAGAAAGTAGTGTTATTATTCAAAAGCAGCAAGACATGTGTAAAAAAATAACACAATATTTATACAAGACGCAATACAAACATAACATAACAAAAGCGCTTTTTTAATGTTGAGTTTCTCCCAATTTAAAGCCCGTTTGTGGGTCAGTGAATTCTATCAGATCACAGAGACCAACAGGGACCAAACCTCTGCCCATGGCTTGGGCAGCACGATATGGCCAAAAATCTAAGATAAGATAAATGTTATTGATCTCACAATGGAGAAATGTACATCAGATTGTGCAAAAATGTTAAAGTTTACAAATATAGTCTGTGCAGGATATATTATGTATGCTATAGCAGTGCTGGTTTTTCATTCCTAGTGCAGGTCATTACTGACTTAAAGTGACTGATTCTACAGTCTGACAGCAGTGAAGCTTCTTGCACTATGGGTGCCTCAGTCTTCCACTGAAGGAGCTCCTCAGCTCCTCTACAGTCCTGTGCAGTGCAATTATGTATCTCCAAAAGTGCATTCAGCAAGAAGATCAGAAATGATTGAATAAAAATTACACCGAGTTCCAAAAGCATTTGCGTCAAAGTGGCGCTGTTCAAAAGTTCTCAATGCTGCGTTTGAACATGATTTCACTTGTGCTAGTGGAACTCGACAACCTGTCAACATCCATATTTGGCATCCCACTACAGTGCTATTACCAATCTTAACTATATCATTCCACAACAATTCACTTAGAACAGTTATTTTGATAAATGTAGTGATTATTTGTTGATATTTTATCTCAGTTTGACCAAGACAACACTGAAGTGAAGCCACCAAAGGACATCTGTAATAAGATGTTTGCACAAACATTTGTTTTTTTTATTTTGTTTGAGGAATATGTTGCGTCTGTAAATAGAGTAGTAAATGATTAAACAATTACAGTTTGTGTCAATTGAAAACCAATCAATAGTTGTTGTAGCCATGAATCAGATTCTAATGGTTGTCTGCAAATAAGTCTGAAAGTTTGTTTTATGTTTTCTATGTTCTAAATTTGAGTTGTTAAAGCAACCTCTAGAAGTGATACATCACCTGCTTAATTGCAAGGACAAATAAAGCCATACTTTCTATGTGGCGTAACACTAGGTTTGTGCACGCCCACTCAATATGCAATTACTTTTTTTCTACTCAAAAGATGCTTTAAAAAGTGTAACTACTTTTAGCCAGTGGAGCTTTAATTTAAAGAAAATTTGTGTCGAGAATAAACTTGAAAATGCATTGAACTTGCAATATGCACCGACACGTTCTTATCTAAACACAAAACTCTTATCTAAACTGCACACACTCAAACAAGATTCTAAATGCCATGGTAACACCAGATAATGAAAATAAGACATTTTGAATTCAGAAGTATCTAACTATGGCCCACAAGTGACTAAATGAATGCTTTTAGTGGTATATGTTTTAGTTTGCCAGCGTAAACCAAAACAAACCATCCTTGAGTATGAAAGGAGAATAGGTTTCTGGCTGAAGTTGATACCGTTCATTTCAAATAGTTTAATTTTTTTCCTGTGGTCAAGATGGAGTGTGATTAAGTGTACGAAATTATTCTGGTTCTGGCAGGACAAATGTGAGTGTAGCAGCACTTTGCCAATAGCACATGGCTTTATAGTTTTTACTAAACAAACAAATGGCGATATCTTCCCATGATGATGCTCAGTCAATATGTTATTATACCAATTCCATCTGGTAAATATATTTTTTTCACTTGAACAAAATCTTCTTGTACATGTAAGATAATTGTGGTTGTCTGCTGGCAACATTACACCAGGCAGTAAAGTCAAGGACATACCATTGTAAAAGACTACGGCATTTTCCTGGACGACTTTGTACGGATAGATCATGACTAAATGTTGGCATAATCTTTCTTTGATCACTCACCTACATTCTTCATCAGTGTTTCAGTGGATTAAGCATAATTTGCCTAAAATACTTGTAATTCTGGGGAGAGAAAAATATTGTGCAAGTAAATGATGAAGAAAGCAGAGAATGAAACAAATTGTGCTTACTTCAGACAGGCTAACTAATAACCTTACGAGCTTATAAATATTCAGGAAGACAGGTGGACTACAAAGTGAACACGGCGTCCTGGTGCACAAATAGAGCATGGCATTTGTGAGATGGATTTTACAACAGCTGGTTTCTTGCTTAGCAGAATCAGCAGCACAAACTCAAATATGACCTTATTATTACAAGCACCAATTAGATGCCAATTATTTTTCTTTGCTGAAAAAGCCCTTCAACGCTGCCAAATAAGCACCTTTTGATTAGGCGTAGATTTTGGTCTTTAATTCTGTAACCAAGGGACATTGAGTGACGTCAACATCAAGAAAGTGACTTATAGTTAGTTTGTCTGAACTATAGACCAGCCTTCAGTCTGGCGCACATGAATGTTAAGTGCAGCTATTTCAAAACTCAGTGGGACACGCTTTAGATGAAAATCTCCAGGGGCTGTGGCATATGGTGGAATAAAAGATGCATACAATGTGTTGCACTTTTATCATTGTTATAAAACATGAATATATTGTTAGTGTGTGTGTGTGTGTTTGTGCTTGATGGAGTATACAGATAAATATATTTTTTCTGAAACGTCTCCAATTGTGTGTTTATTTCTGAAATGAACTTCCGAAGTTATAGCTGTATGCTGATCAGTGACACAGACCTTTTACTATGAGGTTGAGGAGCTTTGGCCGTGGACTGCGTTCACTCTGGACGGAGCATGTGTACTGTCCATCATCGCTTACATCCACCTTCTGTATCTGCAGGCTGTACTCGTGTTTATCGCCCGGACTTGACACGATGGACACCCGTGGATCCACAGACCATTTATCGTTCCCCGCGAATATGATGCTGGAGCGGTTCAGCCATGCGCCTTTAGAGATCCCATCTACCAGGTAGCACCTGAAACACAGAGAGGTACTGTTAGGACTTGGAAGACTTTAGGACAGGTGGATCAGACTTGGTGCAGCTCTTGGGAGTGAAAAAAATACTGCACATTTAAGATCTGTTTGCAAAGAAACAGGAAGAAAGTGTTATAACAATGTATTGTTGTCTATAAATACGTTTTTGTGAATTGAATTTGAGAGTGTTTGTGACATTCTGATATGAGAATAATAATCTGCTGTTGTCACATTTGTGGGCATCCTTCTTCTTTGATAATTATTCTGGTAACATAAGCAAGCAGAAAATTATCAACACTGGTTCCAAACCGTCCAGCTTGCTTTATGCATTTCTCCAGTTGTAATTGTGCTAAGGAAATCAAATAATAAACTGTGACAAACGCTGTAATAATGAGTGGGAAAAGAAGCAATCAAGTTTGGCTCTTTAACTGTTGTCAACATGCCGCGCAAACTGCCAGCATCAGTACTGAAGTCACTGAGGAAATCAGTCTGGCGCTCGCCACAAAGCTCCTTCCCCCGTTTGCCAAGAAAGTGCCAGTCAGCCGAGCGAGCCAAGGACAATGGTCTGAAGCACAAAGAAAATGAAACGGGGAGGAGATGCTGTACAACCTGCTTTTTACTCAGCCCATTGCCCACCTGAGCTGTGAGGCTAGAGGCCTGAAGCTGGTTTTACAGCACAAGCCTCCAGCAAGGTTTTTACTTAATAGAGCTTAACGTTATATTACAAGCCCTCAACTTTCCAGTTAGGCGCTTCTAGCCCTGCTACGATACCAAATTTAGTTTGACACCATATTGATTCAGAAAATTATAGCGACAAACAATAATATCAGAATCATTTTTATTGCCACGTAAGTAACAGGAAGTCACAGACTTGGAAATTGCTTTGGCTCAGTGCAACAGTCAGAAAGAGCGGGAAAGGTAGAGAGGCATAATAAAAATAAAATAAAAAGCACTTCTAAAGAATAAATGTAGATTTAAAATAGTGTGAGATTTCATAACACTTTTAAGCAACTTTTGTTATAGTTAAACTCATCATTCTACCAATGTGCAGAAGCCAGTACTTTTCCCTTGTTTTGTCTATCTGAAGGCCAAGCTACATGGCACCGTGGAAGCTGCTGATTGGAGGTCTCCATGCCTCCGCTCTGTATAATACACTTGTATCTGTTGTTCGTGTTGTTCGTGCTGTCTCTACCATCGACAATAAAACATGTCTTCTGTCTGAATTTAAGACACGATCCCAGACTTTGTCATCTTCTTCAGGTGGTGGAAGGATGCGGGCCTTGTCTGTAAAGCCTAGCGTACATCGGACTGGCAACTGATTATATCCGTCGCATATGAGTTGCTGCCCCGCACACATCAACAATCTGACGAAAACGGGCAACTCGCAGTATCAGACCAGTCTCGGGAATAACAGTGCGTACATCAACAGCAACTGGCCTCAACTACAGTGTGTTTTCTGACATAAACTGTTGCACGCTCGCAATACACACACGTTATCGGAGCGGCGCATGGAGCGCGCACATCGGGTCATATCTCCGAAACTGAGGACAACTAGTTCCCGAAAAGTAGAACACGGGCAACTGACTGAAACTGGAGACCGACTGTTTATCTCCAGTTGTAAGAGCGCGCACATCGACCGATTTCGGCAACTGATCATCTCCCACCATCTCCTCTCAGTTGCCAAAAGCCGCCTTGCAACTAGTTGTCCCCAGTTTCTCTGTCGATGTACGCTAGGCTTAACATCTAGAGAACAGACGACTACTTTTTTTTACACAAAAAGTGTTTGTTTTTTTAAGCCAAAACTGAGAAACCTCAAGAGAATGCATCTGGATCAGCACATGGACAATCTGCACAGCCTCTGATTCCAGTCAGGCTGTGAGCTGCTGAGACATGGACAATACCATCGTCCTCTTTTGCATGGACACCATTTGGAAAAATTGGATTTCTGAATTTGGACATAATTTGGACTGAATTGAATTGCTGAATCTGGACACTGAAGCTGAAATGTGTGATTGAAAGACACGTCACAGAAGAATTCACGGCTCGACAACAGATGCAGCCTGAAGAAATCAACACGGAGAAGTGGGAGAGACTGTTTTCAAAGCAATATCTGGAACCATCGACTGAGGAAGTTGGGTATTTTACTGAAGATTGTTGACAAGTTTTATGAAAGATCTGAACATGTTTTCTGAGTTTTTGAAGTACCGAGTGAAGTACCGAGTTTATGAGTTTTTGAAGTATTGAGTTATGATGTTATGTTGCTGTTTATCGATCCTGATGGTCACACGTGAATGTATGACCAGAGGGGGGAATGTGAGATTTCATAACACTTTTAAGCAACTTTTGTTATAGTTAAACTCATCATTCTATCAATGTGCAGAAGCCAGTACTTTTCCACCTCTTGTTTTGTCTATCTGAAGGCCAAGCTACATGGCACCGTGGAAGCTGCTGATTGGAGGTCTCCATGCCTCCGCTCTGTATAATACACTTGCATTCTGTGTTCGTGTTGTTCGTGCTGTCTCTACCATCGACAATAAAACATGTCTTCTGTCGGAATAAAAGACGCAATCCCAGACTTTGTCATCTTCTTCAATAGAGTTACAATTACTATATACAATATACAAGTGCACATGGTGCACACAATGTAAGGTGATAGCAGTACAGTGAAGTGAAGTGACGTATGATGGGCAGTAAAGTGACTTTATATAGGGCAGTGAGGGGATTTCTAGAGAGCGGGGGGACAGGTTATGAAGTGTTCAAGAGTCCAACAGCAGAGGGGAAGAAACTGTTCTTGTGGCGGGAGGTTCTAGTCCTGATGGACCGCAGCCTCCTGCCCGAGGGGAGTGGTTGGAATAGTCCATGTGCAGGGTGAGAGTGGTCGGCTGTGATACGACCAGCCCGGCCTCGGGCGACGTACAGGTCCTGCAGTGATGGGAGGCTGCGGTCGATAACCTTCTCTGCAGAGCGCACGATGCACTGTAGTCTCTGCTTGTCCCTGACTGTGGCTCCAGCGAACCACACGGTGATGGAGGAGGTGAGGATGGACTTGATGATGGCCGTGTAGAACTGCACCAACATCTGTGCAGGCAGCTTGACTTTCCTGAGCTGCCGCAGGAAGTACATCCCTGGCGTAGGTCCCCGGGGAGTCCAGGTGCTGTAGGATGTGGTGGAGGGCCAGGTTGATGGCGTCGTCTACAGATCTGTTGGCTCTGTAGGCGAACTGCAGGGGGTCCAGGTGAGCGGAGGTGAAGGACTTGAGATGGGAGAGGACCAGGCACTCAAATGACTTCATGACAACAGACTGAAAAAATGGTTCAGGTCGTCAGCCAGTTTGTGGTTGTCAGCACAGAGGGGGGCTTTGGGCTTGTAGTTCGTGATTTCCCGAAGGCCTCTCCAGACAGAACCAGTGTTGTTGTTTCCAAACTGCTCCTGTAGTCGTTCTCTGTGATGGGACTTGGCTGCTTTCAGTTCGTCCCTGAACTGATATTTAGCCGCCTTGTAGCCGCTGCGGTCCCCCTCCCTGAAAGCAGACTCCTTTGCTTTTCTGAGCTGCCGGAGTTCAGCAGTGAACCAGGGTTTGTCGTTGTTATAGATGACCCTGGTCCTTGTTGGAATACTGCTATCCTCGCAGAAGTGAATATATGACATCACAGCGTCCGTGTAGTCATCCAAACTGTCTGTGGCAGCTCTGAAAATGTCCCAGTCTGTCATGCGCACAGCTCTTCCACAGCCTCATCAGACCACACTTTGGAGCTCCTCACTACAGGTTTTGAGAGCTTCAGTCTCTGTCTGTAAGCAGGAACCAGATGGATCATGGAATGGTCTTGTGAGATTTCATAACACTTTTAAGCAACTTTTGTTAAAGTTAAACTCATCATTCTATCAATGTGCAGAAGCCAGTACTTTTCCCTTGTTTTGTCTATCTGAAGGCCAAGCTACAAGCACACCGTGGAAGCTGCTGATTGGAGGTCTCCATGCCTCCGCTCTGTATAATACACTTGCATTCTGTTGTATCTGTGTACGTGCTTTGTTCGTGCTGTCTCTACCATTGACAATAAAACATGTCTTCTGTCTGAATTAAAGACGCGATCCCAGACTTTGTCATCTTCTTCAGTCTGAGAAGCTGAGGGCTGCGTGGGGAAGAGCGCGATAAGCTCCGCACAGTGGTGTAACAGTGATCCAGATTGTTCTCTTCTGTGGTCGGGCATGTAATATACTGTCTGTATTTGGGTAATTCCTGGCTCAATTTTCCCTTATTAAAATCCCCCAGGATAATAATCAGAGAGTCCGGGTATAAACACTCCAAACACGCTGAGCCTCACGCGCGTCCCCGCCCGGTGGTATGTAAACAGAGGCAAGAATGAATGAAACAAACTCACGTGGGAGGCTTGCAATGAATGAAAAGATATTCCAGAGCAGGAGAACAGTGCTTGGAGATCACTGTCACATCGTTACACCAGTTTGTATTAACGTAGAAGCAGAGTCCTCCGCCTCTGCTCTTCCCTGAGAGCGCACAATGGCGTTCTGCGCGAAATAACTCAAAGCCCTGTAGCTCCAGAGCACTGTCCGGGATCCGCTCATTCAGCCAGGTCTCAGTAAAGCAGAGGACACAGGATGAGGCAAAGTCCTTGTTTCTTCTCATCAGCAGGCCGAGTTCGTCCATCTAATTGCCCAGAGAGCGATCGTTGGAGAGAAAAATGCCGGGGAGAGCCGTGCGCGCTCCTCTCCTCCTCAGACGCACAAGCAGGCCTCCGCGCTTTCCTTTTTACGGGCCCTCACTTTTTTGGCTAAAACATGAATTAAAACTGCCGCAGATGCCAAGAAATCAGGCAGTAGGTCCATGGGAACGGTGGGTCAGTGATATTGGAATGTAACTTAAGTTATCATTTTGGTAAATCATAAGTGGCTATGTGCTGAATGCTCTGCATTGTAATCCACTTTAGCTCCAGGAAGATTCGGAGTGTCTTTTGTTGTGTTGGTTTCTTCCTTTCCTATTCTGCATACGAAGGTGTGTCTTGTTCTACCAAAAGGGGCTTGCAGACTGTGAATCTAGAGACTTGTTCTGAGAGAGGCTAGGGTCTGTGCCTTGCCTCTGTCAAGACGCTCTCCTTGTGACAATCTTAAGGCGCGTTCAGACCAAAAGCTTCAAAAAGCTTTTGACGCGCTTCAACTGACGCCGGGATTGTTTTGTCATTTTGGTGCTTGAAGCTTTTGACGCGCCTGACGCCGGTGGGAGGAGCTTCTCTGTTGTCTGTAGTCAGGACAGCGGTGGATTTTTCAATTAGCAGCGAGCCTTTATTTGTTATATAAAAGCAAAATAACGTTGTTGTAGGGCTTCAACAAAACATGTTCTGGGTTCACCACAGACTTGAGAGGCTGCAGTGTTTGCAGAGTTCCGTCATTTACTCCAGGAGCTGCGTACGGAGGAGTTTCGCTTTCAGCGGTACTTCCGCATGTCACTTGCCCAGTCTGAGTTCTCAAACCCCGGAGCTCGCCTCTCCCCGTCTCGCTCTCGCCTCTCCCTGCCTCCCCCTGCCTCTCCCCGGCTCTCGCTAGCCTCCCCCTGCCTCTCCCCGGCTCTCGCTCGCCTCTCCCTGCCTCTCCCTGCCTCTCCCGGCTCTCGCTCGCCTCTCCCTGCCTCTCCCCGGCTCTCGCTCGCCTCTCCCTGCCTCTCCCCGGCTCTCGCTCGCCTCTCCCTGCCTCTCCCCGGCTCTCGCTCGCCTCTCCCTGCCTCCCCCTGCCTCTCCCCGGCTCTCGCTCGCCTCTCCCTGCCTCTCCCTGCCTCTCCCCGGCTCTCGCTCGCCTCTCCCTGCCTCTCCCCGCCTCGCTCTCGCCTCTCCCTGCCTCTCCCCGGCTCTCGCTCGCCTCTCCCTGCCTCTCCTCGGCTCTCGCTCGCCTCTCCCTGCCTCTCCTCGGCTCTCGCCCGCCCGGAGCTGCCTTGCTCTGAGCCAGACTCATAGTCAGCCTGTTCTTATATTAAATAAACTACGTTTACTACACAGCATGTGTACAATGATTTTTGTTACTCAGAGTTTTACTACTCATACAAATAATATTACTAATAACAATAATGACAATAAAACAGCAGCAGCAGATACATGACTTCTCTTCATGACAGAGACAGACCCTCTGCTGCTGCTGCTCCTCGTCTCCTGATTGGTTGAAGCCCGCGTCAAAGCTTCAAAAGCTCAGCTTTGCTCAACTTCGGCGTCAAAGGGATTGTTTTGATACGCGAGCGTTTCGCGCGTCAAAAGCTTCAAGTGAGCGCGTAGTACGCGCGACTCTTGAAGCTTTTGACGCGCGTCAAGTGACGCCGGGGCTCTCGGCTTCACCTGACGCGCTTCACCATTCACTTTCAATGGAAACCTGACGCTTTTGACGCCGAAGTTAAGTCCGGTGTGAACGCCCCTTAAGAAGTAAAAGATTAACTTTGGGACGTGCCCGGAACACCTCCCCAGGGAGGCGTCCAGGAGGCATCCGGAACAGATTTTTTGCCACAAACTGATTTTATTGGTGTAAAACTGGTGTCATTCTGTCAAATAAGTCAAAGATATTTATTAATAATAGCTATGTATTATTATTAAGTATGTAGGGATGACCAGAAACCTTTTATTAAAATTACTTAACATTGGTTAACTTGACATCCTGATGTGGATGTAATATATAATATAATATATAATCAAATATACAAATCCAAATGAAAATACATTTGCAAAAACAATACATTCACATCATCATCATTCATACTAACTTGATTAAATTAAGTTTGTAGTGAAAGTCTGGGATTTCCAAAGGTGATCTCCATTTTAAAAAGTAGGTTAAGTTGCAAACGGAATATTTTATTGATGACAAAAGATGTTTATAAAAAAGGCAGTTTCTAGGAACAGCCGCAATGCAACTTGCTTTCTTGTTTACCATTTATATTCTTAGTGTGATGGGTTCCTAATTTTGGTAATGCTGACCATAGATTCCTCACAGCACCTCCAGTTTTAACATTTGCAGTTTAAACTTTTATTTTTCTTAATACAATCCTTTTAATTGATGTTGTTGACAAAAGCCACAAGAGGAAACTTTTAATCTGCTGCCAAGCACTGAAAAAATTAAACTGCCAGTACGCCATTTTGATATTATAACAAAATCAAACCTAGAGATTGACAATCATCAATAGATGGGATTTTTTTTCTTCTAGTTCTAAGGGTTTCCGCAAAAATGATACAACTAGGGTTGCAATTTTCTGGGAATTTTCAAAGACGGAAACTTGGGAATTTATGGTAATAGTGGGAATAAATTCATGAATGAATGAATGAATGATGGTAATAAATGGGAATAAATAAATGTATCCTATATTGAAGGTTGGCTCTTTATAGGGAACTTGAAGCAAACAGATGCCATTGAAAATGCCACTCAAACACAGTACACTGCTACTGAGACCACGCCCCCCACTGGCACCGTGCATACCATCACATGTGCATTTGAGCCTATAGACCAGGCATGTCCAAACTAAGGCACCCCATTGGCCAATTGCGGCCCTCTGTGCTATTTTATGTGGCTATTTGCTGCTAATACAAAGTCGCCATTGAGGCACTTAAGTTCCACTGCCCGTAATTCCTAGATAGTTTCCAATATGGAATATCTGAAACTTCTCCCAGATTTTCTCATGGAAATTTTACAGAAATGTTCCACCCCTTTGCAACACTAGACACAACTAAATACAATTTCAAGTAAACACAAATATATATTAGTCTACTGCACAACAGCCCTCGTGTTGTAACTCAGTGCTACTTACTGTTTGCTGTATGTGCCTCAACAGAGCAATGTGTGATACGTTTATTTTAGTTTCTTTTGGAGTTTTCTTTTTGTCAACATTTGATTAAATAACAGGGTACTTCTTTTGGAGCCACTGGGCCCGGCCCTGAAAAATAAACATATCAGCTGACCTTAATCAACACACTGTCCCACCACAACTGTAATACAAATGTTATGAAAGTAAATGAAGCCATCACCTTGGTCATTGTATGCCCTTGTCCACTGCTTTAGTCAAAGCAGCATTAATCTCTTTAACACTGTAGGTGGGCTGGGATTTCATCAAGGTTGTTTCATTCACAACGTGGCATTCAGCTACT